TAAATTGAGATGAACACTTCAGATGGTTTGGAAACACTTGGGTATCTCTATATGATCTCCCGCTTTGGCCAGTCTATGAGTCAAACAAGCACCTGCGATTCTGAAATCAGTGACCAATGAAATTTCTGTTTACCAGAGCGATGCTTTATAGAGGTTTTGATCAAAGTGTGAGATGCTGATTTTGGTTCCCATGCTTAGGAAGGCTGTCTCTACAAAAGAAGTTTGTTCAAGTAATCACAGAAGTGAAATCTTGCCATGAGAAAGATCAGGCCTCAGGGCTAGGCTGGAGTTTTGTATGCTGTGCATTCAGTTTTTATAATCTTTTCAGCTTCATTTCACACAGTAATTTTCCAAACTCTCCTCAATTGATTAGTGGCACCTCAAGGTTGATTTCTATCTGCAGCAGTCCATCTGGCACTAGCCATTAGTGCTTTCTAATATACAGAAAGTAATTCAGTGTTTGACTTCACTAATTAAAGTAGTTTAGGTTGGAGTTTAGGTGTTGGTTTTTTCCCCTGGATGTTTCTTTTTTCTTAACTGACACTAAAGCAAAAAATAATCTGCTCTTGAATGTACTATAGCCAAGAACTTGGAAAAATTTTGGCAGAACTCAAGGACAAGGATTTTTATGATGAAAACTTGACATAATAAAAGAAATTGTTCTGCAGGGACCTTTGAAGTGACCCCAGAAAAAACAATGTAAACCTCCTGTTTCCTTGGGAACAATGAGGAGGTCTGACTTAATTGCCAGCATCTTTAATCTACATCTCCCTTGTGATTTTCACTCTGGAGTTTTAGAGTGATTCTGATTAGCTTGGCTAGAAGACCTGATTCTGTCCCGAATTATGCTACTATAAATCAGATGAGCATCTTTGTTAAGACTGATAAAATTATTGTGGCATGAGCAAACCAGGAGGATTGGAATCACAGAACAGAAGACAAAAAAAAAAAAGTATCTGATTGTCCACTCTCACCCTGCTCATGTTAGTATGGTGATCAGGGAGTGCCCGATGGGGGACTGCGTGAATGGTATCCAAGCTAAAGATCAATAAAATAAAAAAATCTGTCTTTACGTTCACCTGAGTGAGCTTTTCGTTAAATTTTTGAAGTGATGAGAGAGGGGATCAGACACAAGACTCAGGGCTTTAGTTCTCAGCTTCATAGTTATTAATGGGAGACAAATGATTTATCGCATCCCTGCCCATGCTGTGTAAGAGGCAAAGGACCGAATGAGCAGGCAAGGAGAATCAGGCTGAGCAGCACACAGGATCTCCAATGGGTTAGAGGGCAGTTCTGCTCTGTGCCCCAGCTCTTAGTCCTTCAAAGGCAAAAATCATTTCCCCGTGCTAAGGGGGCAGCATCTCCTTTCCCACTGGGTCTGCAGCATGTGATTACAGTTGGCAGCACCCTTCAGAACAACACGCCAATCATCTTAATTGAATCTTTCAGCTATTTCCCGCAGCTGCCAATTTTAGTGTGCCATGTATCTTGCACAACTTTTTCATCAGAGCAGAATTAGGAAACGTGTTTCTTGCTGGCTTATCTCTGTTGATAAATAATTGTATGTTGCGTTTATTGGAAGCTTTGAACTGGTACATTTGGAGACACTGTTTAATATGTCTGTCTGTGAACAACCATGGCTTGAACAGAATTTAATTACTGAGAATGGATTTCTGAGATTGGAAAGCACAAGAAAGGTGCTCCAGGTCCTTGGAATACATCTATAAAGGGCTTGGAGGGCCAAATGCTGGAGCTGCAGTCAACTGGATTAATCAGATTGGAAACTGAAGAGAGGAGGAAGTCATTTCTGCTTAGTGAAGGAGGTGATATTGCATTCAGGGTGCCCCAAGGGAGGAACAGTAGGCAAAGCAACACTGAAATAATATATCTGTGTTCTTGGGAGAATAGTGAGAGTTGCTAGATTTCCCTCTGAGTTCATCTGGTCTGAGAGCGTGTAGGATCAAACTGTGCATTGCAGCAGGGTACCTTGCACCAGTGCAGATGCCTTTGACTTGGTTCCAAAAATAGTTAAAGAGTTTAGTTCGTGATATATAGACCAGCTGTTGGCAAATTCAAATGGTCTGGCTCCCATTTACACCAAGGCCTTACTGGGGATATGCAATGAGGTCTTAGAGTAGGTAAAAATGTACTCATGGTCATTCAGAGCACTTTAAAGGACAGCAGGAAAGAAGTCCACAGCATGGCTGTAAAAATCATAGACACTGTTTCAGTCCAGACAGGTGCCTATGCATGTGTGTTGTCCTGCATTTCTCCAGAGCTACTTGATTAAAAAAAGAAGACAGATGTCTGTGAGCACGCTCTCTTACAGAATTGTTAGTACCCTAACTCTCGGCAGCTCAGGAATCCTTCCCCTAGGTATTGCTGCATTTGTACTGGATGATGAGTCCAAGAATGAATCCACAAAGATGTCAAACAGGAAAACAAAAGCCCTGTGGTCTGTTTATCCCTCCTGTATCCCTTTGGTTTACAAGTGAGTAGTAAATAATGCAAATTTTAATTACATCTTAAATATTCTGAGAGCCGGATGAGCATTTTCAGCCCTCCAGAGGAGAAATGTGGTGTGTTGATTGATTCTTGCTGAAAATGCTGTCTAGCATGCAAGAAAAATACCTCTAAAACTGTTGGTTGGCCCTCACTCTTGTCTCAGCAGCTGTTTGCCAGGTGGGGAGCTGGCAAAGCCTGCAGAAGCCCAACAGCAGCCCTCAGGTAACTCCTTTTGTAGCGAGGGCTCTGTTTAGTCATTTTAATACATTTGATTTGAGGTTGCTAGCCAAATACAAATTCGGTGAAGAGGTGTATCCAGTATGTTTGGAATCCCTGGGCTCATTTTTCATCCCCAGGTGTAAATGGATGGAGCACCTGCTGTGCCAGCTGTGGCAGCCTGACTCTGAAATGTCCATCCAAATAGGGGGGGAAGGAGGGGAGAGGACTTTGAACAGCACAAAGGAGACTATTTCTTGTGTAGTTGGCAGTGATTTCGTTTAGCCTTGTGTCACCTCCCAACTTGATCCCTCTAGTTTCCCCATGAACCTACACAGGCATCAAGTGTAAGAGCTGATCGGCTGCTCTGCGCTGCCCACACAGGCAAAGGGGTGCCACGGCCAAGGACTTTGCTCTCTATAAATGTTTCAACCCTGTTAAAGGAAAGGCAGAAAAGGGCAGTTTGAATTTGATTGCTTGTCAGCTTCATGCCACTGAACAGACTAATTACTGCCTGTGTCTGCCCAGGCAGCTTAACCCCTTCTCAGACTTCAGGGTGAATAACAACACCTTCGTGCACACAAAAAAATGTGTCTGCTGCTGAAAACTTTCTATCACAGGTTGATCCCCAGGGTTCGTGCTGACCAAAAGCAATTCTTTTTGGTTTTGTTAAACCCATGCCACTGGAAGCATAGCACTTCTGTCTGATAACTGTATATCACTAACCAGCAGCGAGGATGTGCTATGACAGAATATTTAATGCATGTAATGAGGAACTGGAGATGTGGGTGCAGTTTGTGTAAATGCAGCCAGCATGTCATTAGACCCAATTTGCTCAAAGTCTTTAGGAATGCTGACAGAGTAAAATAGCTGCAGAGACAATTTTTACCTGCTCCTTTGCAGATCATGCTTATAGGTTTTAGCGTGGAGCTGTATTCGCTGGCTTATTCTCACTCTGCTGCATGGTGGGTGCTCAGTTACGAGTGCTTCAACATGGGAAGTAGGTTTGAAAACTTGCTGGTGAGACATCACCACATCTGACTTTAGGGTGAGAGGAATCAAGAGTAGGTAGTGTTTCTCTTCCAGCACCCATGAGCTGATGCAAGGTGCTCTGACAGTCTCAGGGAAACTGTGAGTGCTGACAGTTGTGTGTACAGCAGTGCTCTCTCCCTTGCAGACGTGGTCATATACTGAAGATCCATATCTAGGAGCTGCTCCCAGCTCCTTCAGTAAAGAAACAGGAGAAAAGTGGCAAGGGTTCAGGTCTGACTTCCCTGCAAGTGTTTTGTCCTGATGCTTCAGGTGTGACAAGAGCGTTATTTTATTCACAAGTGCTTTATGGATCAGCTTTTCTGTACACACCATATAGAAAGTCCTCCACACCAATGAGGCTTGATGCTTTTCTTGTTCACAGCAAGCTAATTCACACTTCCTTCACTGCAAACATGGTTTCAATCAGGAATGATGCCACTCAAATTGGAAGCAGGTGGCAACTCTAGGTTTATGCTAGGACCACCAAGGCTAACATTAGGTGTAGTGAATAGGGTACATCAGTGCAAGTAAATTCAGAAGGAGCTTTGATTTTGATGAAAATTCTACTGGAGTTTCAGGACTAGTAGCAAGATAGCACTAAAAGTTTAGTATGTTTTATCCAAATAAAAAGTGTAAATTACATGACAGAATTCACTTTGCACACAGCCTGTGTGGTGTTAATTAAACCTCAGCTGTTTTTTTAGTGGAAGGAAGACTGAGAAAATGGGAATGAAATAAATTCTACATTTAATTAAAGTAACTCTCTTCCATTCAGATGCTTTCCCACTATGGTATTGGTGATGCAGTTATTATACTGAGCCAGTAGGAATCACAAAGAAATCTGTTTTACAGAAACAAAATTGTCTTAAAAACTTAGAAATTTTATGGGTAGCATTGCAAAACCAGGAAGCTAGGGTAAAAGCCCAGATCTCTGCACAGAGAGGCTTTTGCTTAGTTTATAATCCCTTCTTGGAATTTCTTTGCGCTGGCTCAGAACCAGTGTTTCAGATGTTTTATTGTAATGTTTTATCATTTTAATTGTACCAGATTCCTGTAGAAACCTCAGGCCAGTTCTTTGGTCACACATGGCTGCTATCATAAGCCAACTGGGAAAAGAAGTGCATCAGGTCTAGATGGATCCTGAGCGATGCTGTGGAGTGGAGTACCAGGCACTGTCAAAAGATTGATGTTTACTAACTTTTTGGTTGACTTTTGTTCTTACACTTTCTTTCTCTGTCTTCCTGTAGGTTATAACCCTGGAAGGATGGGTTGACATCATGTATTATGTGATGGATGCACATTCTTTTTACAATTTTATATATTTTATATTGCTTATAATAGTAAGTATGAACTGCGAGATGATCCCATTCCTTGTCCTTGTGGGGTAAAGATGTTCCTTGGGCTTTTCACAAAGAGCCAGCTAGGATTCAGAGTAGGAGACCTTCTTCCCACCATAAAACATAATCGTGAAAGTTGTGATTAGTGCTGTGGGGACGGATTATTGGCTACAACAGTCCTTTTTAGTGTCACATGTGATGCATAGTCACAGCTTGTCAAGCCATATGGTCTTCCCTCCCTCTTACTCTCCCAGTCTCAGTCTTGTCACCTTGATGCGTCCTAACTATTGTGCCTTGGCCAAGCAACTGCTAATGAGAACAAAAAGCAGAGAGGCTCTAGGTTTTCTTCCTTTAGCCTCCTCAGTGTGCCAGAGGACACCTCATTTTGGTGAAGGGCACTCAAACTATTGAACTTCATCTGAGCCCTTTAAATAACAGTAATAATAGCAGCGCACCTTTCTGAGGTCTTACAGCACTGCTGTTCCTAAAAACAAAGTGTTATGCGCTGGAGGTGCTGAAGGTTGTCTTTAGAAACTGGCATTCCATGTTAGCAAGATTCTTTTTTACAATGGGCACAACCTTCTCCAGGGGATCTAATCTGTGGAGAAGTTAAGCATTTAAGTCAGGAGAACAGAGGGAAAATTATCATGTAGATGTCGGGCAGGACGTGGGACAGAGGCATTTCAAAGTGCGTTTGAGGCTGGATATTCTTTATATATAACCCCATCCTTATCGGTGTGGTTTTGAAGGCCTTGGGAAGTCAAAACACCACAGCTCCCACCACCAGTGGGAAAGGCATGGATCAGAGCAGTGTTAGAGTTTCCCACTAATGTATAGCATTCTGAAGCCAGTGATTTTTGAGCTGTTAGCAATGGGCCATGCAAAGCAGAGATTTACCCTCCGCTCTTTTGAGCCCTTCTTACATATGGATCCTTGCAGAAAAGCCAGAAGGTGACTAATCTCCAAGTCACTTAGAGCTGGGAATGGCACCCTTGTTGCTTTTCAAACAGTATCCAGGCTGATACTACAAACTGGAGAAAAGGACTGCAAACCATCTCCCAACGGCTTCCCCTGAGTATTCACCAGACAATGGTCCAGATTAAATCCATACGTTTCCTACTGAGCACAGCGCAGAGGTTTGGCCATGTAGACAGTGGCACTTTCTTGACGTCAGTCGCTTTCATGCCTAAGGGCACAGATTCTCTGGTGGGAATATTTGACATTTTCCTTTGGCTGATTTATGAACCCAAGTGATGAAAAACCAGTTTGTGGGCTCAACAGCTGAGGGAAGGATGTAGCCTTAGGTCACTTCATATTCTTGTCCTTAGGACTTAATTTTGAAAACCTTGGTATCACCCAAGAACACATCAACTCAACCAGACAATAAATCAGGCCTTTTTAGGAGCACTGAATGTGCTGGAGATGCATTTCTCTGTGTCAGAGGAATCCAATAGTCCAAGGTCACCCATGCATGGACCCTGACTGTCCTCAAAATGAGGGTGCGCTCTGCCAGGGTGTGAAGTGATAGAGGAAGAGAAGAGGCAGTTCCAGTACAGCACAAATTGGACTTAAGGCCATCTTTTCTTGCAGGTTGGCTGGGTGTTTCCTAGTGATCTGTTATGTGATGGTAACTGATAGCGTTGTATTTCATACACCCTGTGTTAGTGGCAAAAGTCATCACTTTGGAGGAGAGGAAAGCGGTGAAGGCTATTGTTAACAACTTTCTTTGCCATTGCCAAAATAATGTAACATGGCTTAGGAACAAATTTAGCAGCTCAGGCACATGTTGACATAACATTTGGTGAGCAGACCCTGAGATTTGGCATGCTTGGAAATCTTGGGATTTCTAAGAACCACACTTCAAGTCCAGACAGCATGTGGTGGTGAAGAGCATGTCTTGTTTTGTAAACTCCCTGCTAATTTGCTAATTCCTTTCCCTGTGGTTTCTCCAGGTTGGTTCCTTCTTCATGATTAACTTGTGCCTGGTTGTGATAGCAACACAGTTTTCTGAAACAAAGCAGCGGGAGAACCAGCTGATGCAGGAGCAGCGGGCCCGTTATCTCTCCAACGACAGCACAATTGCCAGCTTCTCGGAGCCAGGTAGCTGCTACGAGGAGCTGCTCAAGTACATCTGCCACATCTTCAGGAAGGTGAAACGGCGGACAATACGCTTGTACAATAACTGGCAGAGTAGGCGCCGGAAAAAAGTTAACCCAAACAGCACCACAAATGGGCAAAGCCACCGAGGCAAAAAGCGCATCACCTCCATACACCACCTCATCCACCATCACCACCACCACCACCACCACCACTATCACATCAGCAATGGGAGCCCTCGGGGGCCACGCTCCAACCCTGAGATCTGTGACCTGGAACTCAAGGTCATGAAACCTGGAAGCCAATTGATGCTTCCTTCTCCGTCACCCAACTTGCAGAGCCCTGCTCCTCCTCCAGATTCGGAGTCTGTGCACAGTATTTACCACGCAGATTGTCATGTCGAAGGACCACAAGTGAACTGTAAGTCTTCCACCACCCCTGCAAGCATTAAACTGACAGCTGGACTCTCCAACCACGGCAACATGAACTATCCTACCATCCTGCCTTCTCCAACTAGCAAAGCCAGTTCTGTTCCAGTTCCCAAAGGAAAGAAGAATGGCAATTCACCTGTGGCCGTGGTTAATAGCCCTGTAAATTTGGGCACGGATTCTTATGGAAAGCTGCAGCAACTGGTAGGAGAACATGGTAAGGACAAGCAAGCTGATTTTTATTGCTTAGGAAAAGTTAGCAAAGGGCAAATTGCTCAAGAGTTAAGGTGTTAAAGATAGCCGTGTAGGGTGCTGAAGATGGAAGCTGTTTTGTGAATGCTATTTGAACCGAGCGCTGAAGTCAGAAATAGGACAAGTTGAGGGACTGAGAGATCTGTTCCTTCTACCCTTGTGTTTCCAGTCACTGGGAAAACAAGATACAGGATAGTCCAGGCAGTGAGTTCAGGCCGTCACTGGAGGCCTCTTTCCTGTGGCTACAAAGCTTATGGTTTTAAGCTTCTCTCATGTGCTTAGTGATATCCTGGAGGTTCTCCCTCTGTTCCCACCCAAGAACAGATCTGTGCAGTCCCTGGAACAGCATCTCTGGTGAATGATGGACCTGCTGGCTGTAGCCTGGCAGCAGAGAAGCCCCAGCTGCTGGGAGATGGTACCTTGAAAGGGAAGAGTAGGTAGAAGCTGGTGGAGAAGCATAGGAAACATAAGAAGTTTAAAACAGGGAGACGCTGAAGGAGCTCACAACAGACACTTGTAGAAACCCCTAGTTCTGCTCTGACGAGCTGCTGAGCCTCTCAATTTCTTTTTGACAAGAAGAAGCAGAAGTTTTGGAGGGAGCCCCATGGCCACTGAAGGGTCTTGCTCTGTGCTAGTCCTCAGCAGATGCGTGTGAGGGCAGGAGTGTAGCAGAGCTATAGGTCTCAGGCTTTCCCTCTCATATTTCCCCACATGCAGAAGAAATGTAGGACTGAGTGTTACTGCAAATTTGAAGCTCTATTCAATCTGAATAAATGAGGAACATCTTTGGGAATCTTTTGTACTTCTGTCCCATCCCTATATGCACAGACTGCAGCCACACCAGCACTGCAACTTAATGTAGTTTTATCTCCCTTCACGTATAAATCACCCACTGCTGCAGTAGTGATTACATGCAACACTTATGTTTCTATTTTGCAAAATGTTTCCAGTCCTCATGTCTGGAGCTAAAGACTGAAAAATAGTCCTAAGCCCTCAAACAGTAAAAAATCAAAAAGATCTAGCTTCTATTTTTTACTCTCTTTAAGCCAAACTTGTCATCTGTTTTTTTCAATGCCTGTGTTTTCCAAAACTGTTTATCTGCGTGTGCATGGACACAAATATTTATCCTAGTGATGTATGTGTTGAAAAAATACCAAGCCTAGCTTAGGGGGGGTCACAGCAAAGGTTGATTGCCAAATAGGTTGAGTGGCTTGTCTTTGTTAATATTTTTTTTTAAGTGACCATACAAAAGGGTAAAGTGGATTGTTTATAGAAATTGCCTTCGGCGGACATTTCTGTACGCTTGGGAGCTTAGCAGGAGGGCAGAAGGGGGCAAGGTTAGTTGCAGTGTTCTTCTGTTGTTAAGCACGGGCTTTATATGAATCACTTGTTCATCCTTAACTATGCAAGTTAATGAAGGTTACTATGAGAATGTGTTTTTACCTTGACATAATAGCCCAGGCTCTGCAGAAATCTGGAACCGGGAAAGCAAGTTTGAGCAAAAAAGATGTTGCTTGGAAAACAGTGCTCAAGTCAGAGGTTTGGTTGTTCACGGGGATCTGCTGCTGGGGTCCTCTTCAGGAGAAGAAAGCCCCAGATCTCAGTCCCAGCTGTGACATCCCAGGGCCATTTCAATGACGTAGGATATTTTGATGTAGCCTGTGGTGGCTCTTTGAAAGCCAGAGGTTAGATGGAGTTGCTATTAATAATGCAATTATAGTATCCTCTTTTTACAGAGGCATTTCAGCCCAGAGGATGCCAAAATGCTTTAAACAAATCTGAAATTGTTTTGTCTTTTTCAGAAGTGTAGTCATATCTAGGGGAAGGGGTGGATGCTGCAGCTCTTGGCTAGTGAGCAGCAGCTTATCTGGCACCCTGAGGAGCCCAGGGGCTAGGAAGGGAAGCAAGTCAGCCAGGTCCATCTGGAGACCCTGTCACGCAATATGTCAGCGTCCATCTCCTCCCTTCCATGGCTCTGGCTCTTTCCAGGCCCTCCTTCCCACTCCTGCCACAGCCCATCCTGCCACACCAACAGGGCTGACTCAGATTCGCTTCTGCACCGCAACCATCTTCGTACAGCAGGGATGATGGATGTGTCTTCCAGGCTTCAGGAGGATTTCTAAGTGCCAAATAAACTAGCTCCTGAGGGTGTAGCTCTGCCAGGCACAGCTCTCAACTCATGTTTCTCCATCCCAGCCTAAACTTAGCAAAGAGGAGACATGTTAAATCCCTACCCTGTGCTTGATGGGGAAGGTGAGGTGGGCTCACAAGCTCGCCCAACCCTCCTGGCCTCAGCCTCTTTGGGCAAACAAAGAGCTATTTCACTTAATTCTGTCTCCTCCACTCTTACAAGTCAACAAGGAGACTCTCTTCACTGCAAGATTTGTGCAAGGAGAACATACAAGTGATAATTGAGAGCATTAAGGAGGCATTAGCAGCCAGGGCACTCACAGCCCCAGCTGGAAACAAGGTTGGTGTCTGCTGGGAAAGATGCAATTGTGGGAGAGAGTATTCTCTTCCCTTCTTTTGTTGTGGAATTGAAGAGCATAAAGTACAGCCTGTTCCTCCGTGTTCTCGTGCCCTGCAATGCTGTGAGGTTATTTTAGCAGGCAGCCAAGGAGACTCTGGTATTTTGAAGACATCTGCGGCGCCAGTGTTTTTCATATAATTTTTAACACTTTGATAGCATTAAAAGATGTCTGGCAAGCCCACTACCTCGGCTGTCCGTGCTACTGTGGCTGTGCTGCAGTTTCCTCATCAGATCAGTCCTGATCAGAAATGCCGTACTAATGTGCAGTGCTGCACCGGTGCTTCTTGCAAGTTGAGTAAGGGGGCAAATATTTCTGATCCTCCTGGTTTCTTTGATGTAATGAACAGGAGGAAGACAGTCCTCTCCTGCAAGGCTGTTTTGAAGGCCACTGATACCTGAGTGACATTCAGGCAAGTAAAATATATTTTGACTCTCGTCACAGCCCAGTTTTCAAGCTAACGGGGTGATTTTATTTTGTTTGATGCTGCCTTCTCTTTAAAGACATCCTCAGCCGGGAGTGGCTGAAATCAGCAGCATTACTGCTGGGTGAGCTCCAAGCTCCAGGGCCCAGAGCCAGGAGCATCCACTGCATTTGCTTGGTCTCCCCAAAACAGATCCAAGTGTCCCTGTCCAACCTCCAGAAAGGGGCATGTTACAGGGGAAAACTCTCCCCTCACTTTATTTCCCTGAATCTCAACAAAAGCTTTCATGGATGCTTGAATGGCATTTTGTAGGAAGGATCCCATGCTTGCAGTATTGCATTAATTTGGGGCTTTTTTTCCTGCCATTCCTATCCAGTTCCTAAATATGAGAAAACTAGAAATTTGGTTCCTAAATATGAGGAAATAAAATCTGGGTCCCATTCCACCCGTACCATCCTTGTTACACTTGTCCATATCATCTCTGTACCCTGGCTTTGGGAGGGCAGTCGGCATTTCTTCTCACACCACCAAACATGTGGCAATGTGTTTGATTTTAAAACACCCTGAACACTCAGTCCCGTGCCTCAAGCAAAGAATTCACCTGAGCTTTATTAAAGTCTGAAGGAGGGATGAAGGAGACTGAAGGGACTATGTGACTCTACAAGCTGTGATCTGAGATGTGTAGCCACCTTTGGTCCATTTCTCCCTCTCCCTCCTCATTATTAGCTAAATGGAAGCGCTAGCTAAATTGGGTGTAACAGTTTGATAGTGCTCAGATCACTGCTAATGATGTTAGCCTGGTCAGATATAATCAAAAATAATTGACAGTGTGCTGGTCAGTCTTCCCCCAGCAGCAGAACACAAAATGGCTCCCACGCTCTGCAGGGAGAGGCCCCTCAGCCCCGCATCCATGGAGGGGTCTAGGGGGTGTGGAGTGGGGAACGGGGAAAAACACCACCAAGCAGGAGCTGCTTGGTAGGGTGGACAGCTAGAAGGCTGTATTAACATTTTACATTTATTTGAGGATGCAGCAAAAGCTGCTCTGACGGGCCCAGCGCCGCCCGAGCAGGAAGACGGGGCCGTCCGCCATGTTGAGGGGGGTGAGGGGGCTCATGGTGTGCGTCTCCCCTTGCAGGTCTGCGGCGGACGCCCAGCCGGCTGTCGGGGCTGAGCGCGGCCTGCCCGCTGCCCAGCCCGCCGGCTGGCACGCTGACCTGCGAGCTGCAGGACTGTCCCTTCTGCGCCAGCCTCCTGGAAGACCCCGAGTTCGCCTTCAGCGAGTCCGACAGCTGCGACTCCGACAGCAACGGCGTCTACGAGTTCACCCAGGACCTGCGGCATGGCGACCACAGAGACCAGCTCCAGCAGCAGCGGGGCAGGAGGAGGAGGAAGAAGAAAAAACCCAAGGAGAGGAACAAGGTCACCCGCCTGTGGAAGGCTTTTGGCAGCAAGCTGAAGAAGATCGTGGAGAGCAAGTACTTCAACCGGGGCATTATGATAGCCATTCTCATCAACACGCTGAGCATGGGCATCGAGTACCACGAGCAGGTGAGTGCAGGACTGGCCTGGAGAGCCCCGAGGGTCTGTGGTTTCAGGTGTTCATGGCTTGGGGTGACTGTTGAAGCCATGCCAGAGGAGGAGCAAGCATTTTTTCGTGCAAGTTGGAGAGCCCAGATGGGGCCGAGGGCCTGATCCTGCAGACGTGTGATGAGTAGGAGCATCCTTCTGTGTGCAAAAAAGCCTGGAAGGTATCTGGCAGCGCTGCTGAGGTGTGCAGAGTTTAAATGTGTGTTAGGATGTGGCAGCTCAGAGCCTGGATAAGTTGTTTGTTGTGAATCATTCATACAAGCGTGAATTATTCTGCTGGAAATACCCCTTTGGTCTGATGATAGTGATGCACAGTGGACCTTGTAGTGCAAATAACCCATGCAGAAGTTTCTTCTTTGATCCTGCACCTTTAAATAAAGACTTAAACTATCAAGCAACACTAAAAGCAACAAAGGAGAAGAAAAAAAAAAAAAAAAAAAAAGTTAATTTTGCCCTGAAGGCAAACCTTTACTTTGATCTTATAGGGTGCAAGTAGGTCTTTCTTTTAAGTATTTGGAAGGTGGAAAGAGAAATCATGCTGTTCCCAGTACTAGTCTGAACGTGGTAATGGCAAAAAGTAGTGCTGGCAGCTGAGGACAGCTTGTCCTTGTTGGCTGAAGAGAGCTTGAGGGGCTGTGCAATGGGAGAGGGAGGTGAGTCATCTGAGTATCTCCAGTTGGTCACTCTAGGGAAAGCTACGCTTTTCTGGGCTTTTCTTTCTCAGAAAAACTGATTCCTTTCACCTGTTTTCTCAGGATGTGCTCTGGAATTTCTTGTGCCACCTCTGTATCAGGTGCAGAAAATGCACCCCACTGAGGCCAGGAGATTCTCATACTGATCTTCTGTGAGGTGGATAGTCAAGGGTTCATCCTGTGCTCCCCCAAAATCTCCACTACAGGATCCGGAGCAGGTCAAGGTTATTTATAAAGTTATTCCTCCTCTCTGCCGTGGTCTGTCTGCTCAGGAGTGAGAAGGAAAGGCAGACAGAGTAGCATAATACATCCAAAGGCAGGACAAGAGACTCTGCATTTTCTTCTCCATCATCTCTCAGGATTAAGTCCTGCTCGGGACCATGGCGAACAATCCTCCAGAGTGCTGTTACTTTATTTTCTCTCCAACTGTGTGCTTGAAACGCCCATATTCTATGCTGAGACATACTTTCTTTGAGAAAAGCAAGTGTTCTGCTGAAACACATGAACCTCAGCCATGCAACAATAAATTAGTTCACACTTAACAGCAGAGAGCATCCAAACCCAACAAAGAAATAGCTGTCGCTGTCAGCTTTCTGTCTGGTTAGTTGTTCCACAACAAGTTTTAAAATTAGGAAATACACCTTGTCAGTAGCCTTTGAATAGACCATTCATTCCTTGCGGCAGCTGCATTTCTGCACGGATGCTCTTTTGTCAGGCGGATACAGCTTTGTCAGCCCTTGGATATTGCCATGATGGGTGCTGGGGGAAAACCTTAGGCAGGCTGCAGTGAGAAAGCCCAGGGATCTCATGGAGTCTGTCCATAGTCACTCATATAAAGGTAGATTTTGATAATTACATCCTTGCTGCTAACAAAGGAAAGCTGTATTGGATTTTACCTTGTAAAACATTTGCTTTAAACCATCTCAAAGCCAATGGCAATAAAGATTCTGGAGCTTTTGGCTACGGAGCAGCAGCTTCCCGCCAGCTTTGCTTACAGGCACTGCCCAGCATGGGCCCAATAAAAAGGGAAGAATTTTGAAGTGAAAGCTGTGAAAGTTCCTCCACGTGCCTGACTGCAAAGTGTCTCTGGTACGCAGCAGGGATAATGAGCCGTGGAGCTGTCAGAGCCCAGCTCCAAAACACCTCACCCAAGCACTCTCCTACCAACAGAGTGACCTCCAGGGCATCACCAGAGGCTGACACGCTACCCGAAAGCAATAGAAAATGGCTCTAGGCTTCCAGACTGTTTGGCATAAAAATCTGGGGCTTCTGTGAGCAAACCAGGGTGATTTCAGAACTCACAACCTCATGTGAGAATAGGCTGCAAGACTCGGGGTGGGGGACAGGCTTTGTGTGGAGATAAGGAGGAGATGCCTGAGTGAAGCTGTTGTGAGCCTACAGCGTGGTGTTGGGATAGAGGCAATGTAAGAGTGGCTCATTTTGCGTATGTCATGATCCTTGCCAGGAAAAACACTTTAATCACAGCTTTCTGGTTACTGAGTGATGGATGCTGCCCAGTCAATCGTCACCTCTGCTCAGAGCAGGTATTACAGGGCACGAAGGTGTGAGCCTTCCTTCCCAAGGCTGTTAACCAGGCGTGGGTGTTGCCATTGTCTCCTCCATCCTCCCAAGGGCAAACCCCAAGTCATAAGGATTTAGGAGCTGCCTACAAGGATAGCTGCTCTGTGGTTCTCCTCTGCTTTCTTTGCTCCCACCAAGCTGTTCAGTGTTACCCAGAGAGCAGGGGTCAGGGGCTCCCATTGGGGAGGCCTCCTGTTCTCTGTGCCTGCTGAGAGCAGTGTGAGCAGAAGATTCCTGGGCCCTGAAGCCCTGCAAAACATCACCTACCATAGAGACATTTGCTCTGGGTGGAACAGCTTAAGCAGGTTTCCTGGTTGATTCTTGCCACTTGTTCTCAGCCATTGTCTGGTTTTATCAACCTCGGCTGCAATCAGTGCAGCAGCCACAGGGAAGCCCTCCCCAAATCTCACCATCTGTAAGGAAATGTCCAATGCCTTTCATAAAAAAAAAAAAAAAAAAATTAATGTCTGCTTGCTTTTCCGGCTTCTCAGACTTTCATAGTCATCAGTGGCTTTGAAAATAGATGGGCACACCATACACATTTTTATTTCAGGGTGCTATTCAAAGCCAAGACATCAATTCTCTGTGTGCATGGGAGAGGTGGAGGGTACTGAACACCATATGGCTGGAAGACAGAGCAGGACTAGTCCTTGGTGTGTTATCTTGCCTTTCATCCCGGGACATAGCAGCACTCTGTAGAGAAGTCTCACGGAGCCCTCTTGAGGCAATCGAGCATTATTGTCTGTATCTTCTGGATGAGGAAATTGAGGTTGCAAGGTGCCAGGCTGGAGGCAAAACCCTGTGGGCTTTACTGCTGACACTTATCGTAGCCACAGGGCAATGGGGCATGTGTGCCACAGCAGCACTTTGGTAACATCCATTGACAAGACAGGGAGGTGATCTGTGTCTGTAGTGCCGCAGTCCTGGATGCTACTTCCAGATGAGTGAGAGAGACCTGTCCATATCCAAATCCCCTCAAGGCTTCAATATGTGTTTTTATGGGAATTCGAAGCTCACAGCAATCTGTTCACACAGTTACTCTGGCTGCTCTTGGCTAACAGGGCTGGCACCATGCAATTTAATGCATGTAGCCCACATAATCACCTTTTAGGCAAGTATCCTGTCCTGTGGCTAAGGGCACAACTGCCATAGCAGCTAGCTGACTCACAGGAAAGATAAGGAGATGCTAGAACTGCTTTGCACAGAGCTGTCCTTTAGCAGTCTTGCTCTTCTCAGAGGCAGATTCAAGATTTCATGGCAGCACAGCCGGTTTGTGGCAGGAGATCCAGGTAGCAGGAGGCAGCTGATGATGGGAAGTGAGTTTCTTTGGGACTTCAGTCATTAGCAGCGATCAGATCCTCCCGCACAGTGCATCCACAGGGTTAACAGCCAGCTCTGTCTCCAACTGCCACGTTGTACATGGCTGGTAATTAGGAGGTTACAGGATGCTGTTAGTTAGCAGCAGCACAACTTGTGTTTCAAAGGTTAATTGGGTGGTTTGGAGTTCCCTTTCCCCCATCCCCCCCCCCTCCTCTCATGCTTTATTTATTTATTTGTCTATCTCCAGCACGAATAAGCACTCCCACAGATGAGGAAAGCCAAGTACAAAGAAGGCAATCCTTGCATTAATCTTCCAGGCAATTTCAATATATTGGATGATTTTGTTATGCGTTCATTGCAGCTGACAATTCTCCAGAGTATCTGAGAACGTGCCATGGCACTGCAGCAACCAAGCAGGAGCAGTGCACTCCAAAAGCATAACCTCTGCCATGCCTTTGGGGCAGCGGGGAGAGATGCCTGGCACAGGCAGGTCCTTTTTCCAGGAGCTGCGTTTCCAAGTGCCTCTCTGCCACTGAAAGCTGATACCTTTTTGTCCCAGAGTTAGCTCCTGCATGTGCTTTACTGACTGATCTGAAGAAATAATTGCAGTCTGCCTTGATTCCCAGCTTCCCAATTGTCCAGTAGAAGGACAGAGCCCGGTTCATTTGTCCAGGAGAGATGCTGGTGTTACCTCTGCAGAAGGGTGAGCTCTGAATTCATCCATAAGGACCTCTGGTTTAAGCTGTGAGGATAGACCTCCCACTTTGGTCCCCAGAGGAATTTGCAGAAGTAGCTGTTGATACTTGTAATGATTCCACATAAAAGGCTCAATTTACATCAAATGGCACTAGAAATGCTATTTTATATTCACTTCTCAGAAGAGAAGTACAAATTAGTATTTGTTCCAAGCTATTGCTGTTCAAAGAGCTTTTAATTGCTTTTCTGATCCCTCATCCATGGCATGGTTTGTTCAGAGCAGCTGTCTTTGGAGTAGATTGGAGCTGACCTTGGTGGGCACCCAGTGGTCCATTGCTTATCAGTGTAAGAGAAGTATTGGTTTTGAGCAGCACATTTTATTATTCTGGAGTGAAAGTAATTCTGTGTGATTTAAGGTAGCAACTAGCTTCTCTAGTGACATTCTATTTTAGCATTTGTCAATTTTGGCTTGAAAAATTGGTTTGGCCTGGAAAGCTCAGCACTTACTCAGAAAGAAGAGGAGAATCTTTCAACAGCGTTTGAGGCAAATTGCTTAAATTCCTTTTGAGTTGTGAGTCAATAAAATATTATCCTGATCTGAGATTCTGACTTTCATCTGGCAAAACTTGTTCACTCTTCAAACTTTCTGCATGATCTGATTTTAAGAACTTA